CATATTTTAATGTAGGCATTTAGGGCTTTGAACTTTCCTCTTAGCATTACCTTTGCTTTATCCCAGAGATTTTGATAGGTTGCATCACTACTATCATTCAGTTCAAAACATTTTAAAATTTCATCTTGATTTCATTGTTTACCCAATAATAATTCAGGAGTAGGTTATTTAGTTTCAATGTATTTGCATGGTTTTGGAGGTTCCTTTTGGAGTTAATTTCCAAATTTATTTTGCTTTGATCAAAGAGGGTACTTGATATAATTTCAATTTTCTTAAATTGATTGAGACTTGTTTTGTGGCTGATCATATGGTCTATCTTGGAGAATGTTCCATGCACTGATTAATAGAATGTATATTCTGCAGTTGTTGGGTAAAATGTTCTCTATCTTGTAAGTCCATTTATTCTAGAATATAGGTTAAATCCACTATTTTTTTGTTGACTTTCTGTCTCAGTGACAACCTGAGTAGTGCTGTCAGTGGAGTATTGAAGCCCCCCACTACTATTGCATTGCTCTCGATGTCATTTCTTAGGTCTAATAGCAACTGTTTTCTAAATTTGGGAGCTCTAGTATTAGGTGTATATATATTTAGAATTGTAATACTTTCTTGTGACAACACCTTTTATTGTTATAAAAATAGTCCAAAAGCACTACCAAACAGCAAACTACCATTAAGAAATAGTGATAGGTGTAAATATACTCATTTAAAAACTACAATTAAATCTAAGTGATATACATTTTATATTGGAACACCAAAATGTAGGCATATTTCACGCGTGATTTTCTGCTTCTCCAAGTTAGGAAGTGTGGGGATTATGTATGACAGGTGGAACAAGCATGGTGGACTAGAAACACAGTAGTGACCTTCTCCTGCTAGTTATTGTCTCACCTTTTAGGAACGGTAGGCCATTTCAGAAGATTGATGGGCCAGAACATGACAATTATTTGGTAAGCAATGTATTCCACATTTAGAAAACACAAAAATCACATTTTTTTCTATACATCTCAGTTTTTGTAGAGAAACATGATATAAAATTTAAGAATTTAGATGATTGGGATATTAGCAAATAGGGTTACTCAATCCCAGAAGCTTACTGGAGTTATTTGAGTTATTGCAAGAATATAGTGAATGAAAACTTTGAAGTCCTGGGTTAGAGGAAAATGAAATAAATTTTAAAAGGAACACATAGAATAAAAGGACATAAAAATAGGAAGGGCCTACAGGTTTCTGTAAGGCCAAAGTGTGGATATCTATGATTCAACCCTTGATTCCATTCCAATATATATTTAAGATTATATCTTTCTCCAATGTCATTCATCTCGAATCAAAGACCTAACTTGGGCTGCAGAGCTTTAATTACTTGCATATCCCTTACACTGTGACATAATTTATTTTGATCTATTTGCCTTTTCTGTCCATACTGGTCTCTATGAAGTTGTCCCTAACGAAGCAAACATGTTTGTATCACAATGGATTTGCATTTGCTACTCCTTCTGCTGGAAAATTTATTTCTCCATATCACTCCCATGCTTAATTAATATCTTTCATAAAATGTCACTATATCAGCGAGTCTCTTGTTGACTATCCTATTTAAAATTGTTTCTATGCCCTAGGCCTTCTTATACTTCCTTAGGACAGTCATCATTGCCTAAGATATCTGCTATTTATTTACTTTTTATCTACATCTCCCAACTACAATGTAAACTCTCTAAAGGCAGAACTTTTGTCTCTCTTTGTTTGCAACATCTAGAAGAGGGCCTGACACCTGGCTTCATTCAATAAATACTTTTTGAATAAAAGCCATTGCTGACAAACTAATGGAGAGTGTTAGATGGCTTATGTGCAGAGTGCGTACAGACTGCTGTAGGGTGACTTGGTGGTTATCTTCTGGTCCAAAGGGACTGAGATTAAAAATGTGAGTATTCTGGAGGCTTAGCAACTGTGCTGCCTCAAAGGAAACCATGGGCGAATCAAATCTTGGCATAAATAGCTGTAACAATTTAGGTGAGTTTGAGGACCATATGTTTGTAAGATATGAAACACAACAGACTGAATTATAAATAAAGACCTCTGACATTGTGTGCCTCAGTCTGTGCTAGTCAAACTGGGAAAGAAGATGATGAAAGATATCATCATGCCTATTAATAGAAAAAAGAGAAATAAGGAACACACACATAAGAATATGCTTGAAATTTATTGCTTTTGAGAAGTGATTTCTATTACTCAGAAACAAAACTGAAAACAGCTTAACAGTTTAAATTTCAATTATATCATCAAATGATAACTTAAAAGGCAAGTATCCTGAAACAAAGAGTATACACTAAATTATAGTCTTTCTTTTCATTTGCATTGCTCTTTGATAATTTTTCAAAAAGTAGTGATAGTGTGGTATGGTATGAAGGATGGGAATATGCATGTAGAAGTTGTATTTGCCAGTCAAACCTGCACAGAAAAAGAAAAGATTATCTGTAAAATTCTTACTCCCCTAAATATATTTGTTCTGGCCTGGTACAGAGTGGATATTTATATACAATGTTAGTTTACAAAATGCAGGGCCCAAGATCATATTTGACACAGAGTAGACAATTGAATACTCATTAAATTGGTATTTGAATGAATGAAAATTATCATTCAGCATCTATAAATTTTAATTTAAATGATTTTTCTATCATTATATTATTTTCTTCTTCTACTTAAATATAGCGCATACATTTCATTTATACATATTTCCCCTAAATAATATTTCAATACATCCTTCCTTGATTAAGTATCATCAGCTATTACCTAATGCCTCGGGGATCAAGTTCAGGCTCTTCCCCATATCATTAATGGCATAGAGAATTGAATGGAATGTAATCTCCCAAATGCACTGAAAAATAATTGAAATACTTTGGACTATTTTAACTTTGAATTGTAGAACGATCCTCTTATCTACAACAGTTTGCTCTATTTTGTAGTAAAATATTTAGTCTTTCATTGAATTTAGAACATATAATGTTGTGTAGAGATAGGTAAAACTGACCTAAAAAGAAATTGATAATATTTGTTTTATATTAACAAGCATTATGTTAATAATTTCCATAGTAATTGCTCAGTAGAGTTACTTAGGGTGTAAAATGCAAATTTCTCACAAGTTCCCAGATGGTGCTTATGTAGCTTCTCCAAAGATTGTATTGTGGAAGTGAAAACTTTACACAACACCTAGCTACAGATTTAGTGGCAGGGAAGCCCTACAGTTATAACTATATACCTTTCTGATCAACAGATTGTATGTGATATGTCTTTCAAAAGTGTCACCAATTCTATAAAGCGTATTTAAATGTTAACATAAATACACAATTTGTTGATGAGAAAACTGAGGTTTGGGAGCATTAGGGGTAGTTCAAGGTCATGAAACTAGTAGTTGTCAGGGCCAGGATAGAAACCCCAGGGTTCCCCACCCTATAACCCAGCCTTGTAACCATAGCAGGAAAGAGACTTTATCTCAGAAGGATTTAGATAAATTAATACACTTCAAAGAGCTACGGCAGGATGCTTTCTTATACTGTATACTGGAGCTGCTGTTGTTTTAATGGCTTGTTTTTTTCTTCTTAACTGTCAGCACTGATACTTACAGAAGGTCAAAAATGTCACTAAACCCATCTTACCTCAATAATCATGTCCTGCAGTTACTGATGATATTAAAAGAGATATGGTGGGTATGGGTTTGGTTGTGGTGGATATGGTGGTTGGTATGGTGGTTGGTATGGTGGTTGGTATGGTGGTTGTGGATATGGCTGTAGATAAAGGCCATACTCCTGTATACACAAACAAGGAGAGAGCGAAAATTGCAGAAAATTGAGATGATGACAGTACAAGTGTTTAACAATAATTGTTATTAAACAACTAGATTGTTAAAATTTTAGAAACTTACATATTACTTAGATAATTTTTTCCAAACTTTTAATTAGTTTTTTCTTTTTGGTTATAAACAAATTTTAAAAGCATTTGAAAATGATTATTTACCTTTTTACTGTGTGTTTACAGTTTTGTGGTTTTATTTAACATGCAGGAACACTGATTATAGGCTACCACTCCAAAAAAGTTTTAAATTTTCTTCAAATTACTACCTCCCAGCAACTATTTTGCCCACCAGTGAATATTGTGGAAAGGAGACATTTACTAAATTCAGATAATGTGGTGTTTCTTCAAGTCACTCTTAATGAGCTGTCTCTTACGATTACTACATTCTTTAATACTTCTTCCTTCTGTTAACACAAATAACCGTCATCCCTTTTTAAACATCTTTTTATTTGGTGTTACTTTAATCCACATATTCACTATATTAGTAAGGAGACCTTTTACAGCCCTATCTCATTGACATTATATGTCAAAATACTGTGATGTAAAGATACATACATTAAGAAAAATGTTAAATAAATGAAATTTGCTGTCTCATTTAAAATGGCCTGTTTAATTTAATGAGTTTATCACCCTCAAAAAAATCAGAAGGTGCAAATTTCCCATTGTTATGTGTAGATATGGGAAATTTGCACCTTTTCATTATCTTGTGTAGTTATCAGCCTTTTTGCTCCATGAGGAATATAGTATAATTAATAGAATTAGAATTTTAGCTATTTTTTAGGTCAGTGTGATTATTTAGGAGATGATACTTGAGGGCTCAAAGAGTAATTAGTTTTACCAGGTTGGCATTATGAGTTTCACTTTAAATGTTTTCGGGACACAATACATTTGTGACTGTTACCTGTGTATCATAAATAAAACAAAGGCCACTTTTGCAACTACTACACATATTTGAGAAATAAGTATTGATTCTTCTAGAAGAATAAGTAATCAGATAATAAAATTTATTTGTACTACACCCATTATCAGAGAATACTTACATAGTTTCTTCCGTATCTACGATAACGTTTCTGTGAAAAATGAAGAAAAGCTTAATAATTCAATACAAAGGTAGGGAGGACAAAACTTCAGTTTTCCAGTGAATGAAAATGACTCACCTCTTCAGATGAATCAGCTCCCTTAGAAAACAGTAAATAAGAAAATAGTTAATATCTTAATGTTAATTAAGATGTAATTCCAGATTGGTACAAAAATGAACTCAGCAGCCACAATTGTGAATAAACTAAACAGGATGTGGGCAAATCATCGATAGACACTGAATTAGTTGTTTTTGCTTCATGACATCTTCAAAATGAGTTAACAGTATGCTTTTCTGTAATTAGTGTGCTATAGTCAAGTATAAATTTATTTTGATTTATACCTCTTTTGTGTGTGAAAGGGAGTAAATGGTTATCACTGGTGAATGAAAAGTGAAACTTTGTAGTTTTTCATAAGAATATGTTCTCAGTAGCTCAAAAGTTACTCACATATAACATTATTTAGTGACAGAGACAAGCATTATGTTTTTCACTGTTTTCCTTATATTTTTATTTTTTAGAGGCCTATCCTTTCATAACAAAGAATGCAGTAAACTGTGATTTTATAATCAAATTAGTTTTTGAGATATCTGTCAGAATTTATCTGATAAGTTGAAGTATTTTTATTCTTTTGTGGTTAATTACCTACTAATGTCATAGCAAGGAAAGAAACAGGAGGTAAAAAGGAAGTAGAGTAGAAGAAAGAGCTCTAGAGAAGTCAAGTGCTTTACTTAGTGATACACAGTAGTAAATGACAATACAGGCTGGGAACTCATGTAATAATCTGAGGTTTTGTTTTATAGTTAAAAATAAACAGCTTTATTTTAAAAAGGATTTGCTAAATAAGTATGTGCTAGTTTTCAGTTAGTTTTTGCAAGGAATGACTTGAAAATTTCTACTTTGACATCTTTTAACACTTGGATTCCACTCCAGTGCATCTAGTTAATTCGTGAGATTTCTAAATTCATATGTTCTAGAGCATTACATGTTTAAAGATATTTTTACAGCTTTCAGTTCCCCATATTTAAGAAGCTCATTAAAACTTATTTTATTTCATATTAAACTAAATATACTTTAGTATATGAAGTTGAACATGAATATTTATTCTAAATCCTTAAATAATTTATGTAGGTTAATGCAGAAAAAATGTTCATATGGAAACATTAAAACATGTAAAACTGTATTCAAGTAAACACCAGTATATGCCAGAATACAAAGAATAGAATGACTCTTGGGAAAGGTACTGAGAACATATTCTTCAAAATGTCCTGGTATACTTACAATCATGGAAACCATGAAAGCCAAGAGAAAGGCAAAGACAAGAAACTTCATAGTTGACTGGGTCCTCTGAAAACATAAGTGGAAATTCAGTATCACATTTTTTCTTGTATTCATCCATCAAAATTTCCTTGATTATATGGTGCTCTAAAGCACTGGGAGACATACTCCAGATAGAAAGACAATTAAAACCCACTGCCTGATAGCATGAAACTTGGAGATTTATTGGCAACTTGATAAGTAAAAGTGAATGCTTTGATATGGAAAGGGTAAGGCATTAGGGAAACACACAAATCAACACCTTAAACAGACCAAAGGAATGGGGGTATGAAGGTAAAGAAGAAAGTAATGCTCTAGTTGGATTACATGGAATGATTAAAGTGGTGTTGGGAGATTGCAAAAAATGAAAAAGAGAAAGCATACCACATTGAAAGTGTAAACAGTTCAAAATGTAGGGAGGGCAAAATGAGACAACATGATTACTTAGGTTTTGTGACATTATAGGGGGCCTTACATAATGACCTTAGGGATGATATTTAAGGTACAGTGTAAAGAGATGTTTAGACGTTAGAATGACAAGCAATAGGCACAGGCTTTATAATAAGGTCACTGAAAATGAGCCAAGTTTCTGTTTTGACAGTTGCAAAAATGGTGTAATCTTCAGATTAGAACTGTAATGATATTGGGTAGAGAACAATCAAACTGTTAAGAAGTGAGAGGAAAATATTCATACCTTCTTTGAGAAGTTGAATTGATGAAAATGACTTGATAGTTTAAATAAACTCATTCAACAAAATTAACCTCATATGAGACTGTGATATGTTATCATAAACATGTATAAGCTAGTAAACCCAGTTCTTTTGCTATTAAACAAAAAAAGTTAAACATTATTTATTTGCAAATTATAAACATCTAACTAAAAACATTTTCATTGAAACACATATTTGCCTTAAGACTTACAAATAAATGGCATTTTTACTTGTTTATTGCAAACAATAGAGTAATTCATATAAAGGTAATGGCCTTTATTATTCTAATCTCTTTTACCAATAACTTGTGATAAAACATTTCAAGAATATTTTTCACCTAATTATAAAAAATTACTATTATTAATAAATAACCCTAAATATCTAAAACATAAAGCAAAACTCATGATTTATGTCATTTGCTTTGTTACTTATTCATTGATTTGCCTCAGTTATTTAAATTGAAATTTCTGGTATTAGAGTAACCACATTACACATAAAATAATATGTATCTTGGGGTTTTTCTATAACCTGATAGATAAACTTATCCATCAGTAATTTTGTGATACAAAAAGCATGAAAATGTTAGTGTTTTTTGGCTGAGCTCAGTGGCTCATGCTTGTAATCCCAGCACCTTGGGAGGCTGAGGCCGGCAGGTCACCTGAGGTCTGGAGTTTAAGACCAACCTGACAAACATGGTGAAGCCCCATCTCTACTAAAAATACAAAATTAGCCAGATGTGGTGGCGCAAGCTTCTAATCCCAGCTATTTCGGAGGCTGAGGCAGGAGAATCCCTTGAACCTGGGAGCCGGAGGTTGCAGTGAGCCGAGATTGTGCCACTGCACTCCAGCCTGTGAAATTCCATCTCAAATAAAAAAAAAAAAAAAAAAAAGAAAACATTAGTGTTTAGTGTTTTTTATGCCTGTAAATTGTATTGAAAGTACAGAATCAAAACGTGCTTATAAAAGAGTGGTTTCCTTTTACTAACCGTGATAAACTGAAAGATGGATATGTAGACATAGATATATAAATATATATGTAATGGTTTTTAAAAAATATTTCCCAATGACAAAATAATAAAAATATGAAATAGCAAAATCTTTCTTTTCAGCCATGTCAAAAGTGAATGAAAACAAATAGTATAAATCAGTAAGATAGTAAAGCGTAACTGTTATACAATATTTTTTATTATGCAGAATAACATAACTGTTTAAAATGATGGAAAGGTAAATGAAAAGGTAGTGAGAAATGTTTGCTTGTGGGAATAAAGTAAATTTTTAAAAGCTAAACTTGTGAAACAATATATACATTTGCAAAAAAGAGAACCTATGCTATTTTCTTAAAATTTGAATTCAAATTTAAGTTAAAGGTAAAATAATAAGTAGGAGAGTAGATGCCAGTATCTAGACAAGGCAATAAAAAGTTTTTTAGAAGTTCCATGAGGAAAGAAGCTGGAATATGTCTCCATATTTCACATTATTTACTTTGCACAATGATTGCTGATTTCAACTTACAGGAGTTGAGATTCTCAACTCACCTTCTGATCCTAAAAGGGTCATCATTTCTCTCAATGGTTTCTTTATGAGAAATTATCATTACACAAATACACATTTTTATAATTAGTTTTCAAAAGATTTTAGGAAGCCACAGTCTAGACTAAGCTATCATGTTAGTTTATACATGAACATATTACCTTTTATTCAAGATGAGACTCCAGAAGCAGTGAAGTTGAAGCAAAGCCTCAAGAGTGATGTGCTTCCCTAGAGGACTAATGTATTTAAACACACTGAAATGCTCCATTTGTTTTTGTTAAATAATGAAAACTAAAAGCAATGCCCAAAATCTGTCTCTACAAATGATAAAAATAACCTTAACAAAGTGATTTTGCAATAGATGATTGTGAATACAAAGCAACCAGGAAACAACTGGACCCACTGCATGTTAATCCCAGCGCTAGTCCAGGCATGAATGAGTCAGACAACGGAAAAGCATGCTGGAGGAAACCAGACACAGAAGTGATAGCAGTGATAAAGATGTTTCTGTGATACACCATCTGCTCTATTTCCACAGGTATGTGTCCAAGGTGGAACAACTCTAGGGCAAAAAAATACCATGTTATCAAGATTGTACATGTTCTCCAATAAATCATGATAACTGGCACAATAAAATTATAGTCATTATATACATCAAGAGTTTTTCTTCAAATCATTATCTCGTAGTTTTACCATCTTCCATTGACTTTAGAACATTTTAAGTTACAAAATGAATGTAAACATTTGCAAAATTCAGTTATCTTTTGGGCACTACATTATAAAAAATTCTTATATTTATGGTGAAATGACTCTAAATGTTCAGTGATGTATATGTCCCATATGACTAAATATATATTTTTGGAAATTCAATTTAATTTCCTAGAGTTTTTAAGGATATATATTTATCCATAGCAGTCATGTGTTGACATGATTACACTAAAGTGAAAAAAAAACAAAAAACATTTTTTCATTACAGTCCTAAGAAAATTTGTGTAAAAATTACCCTACTCACTACTGGTTGGATAACTCAATGTACTAAGAACTGAATATCAAAAACTTAAGCATAACATTGAAGTAAGTTATACAGCCTAGTGCATTGTTCCTCAGAGTGTGCCACATGGAACCATCTCAATCAGCATCAGCTGGAGTCTGTGGAAATGCAAATTCCTAGTACCCCTTTCCAAACTTGCTGAGTCAGAATCTTGGGGTTGCCCCAAGAAGCTTGGATTTTAGCATTATCTCCAGGTGATTCTTTGTGTATTGTAAAGTTTGAAATAAAGCTGGTCTTGGTGGCTGATGCCTGTAATCCCAGTACTTTGGGAGGCTGAGGCAGGAGGATTGCTTGAGTACAGAATTCAAAAACCGCCTAGGTAACATAGCGAGAACCCCATCTCTACAAAATATAAAAACTAAAGAAAAAGACAGACAATCACATAATTGTTTCGTAAATGCATTAGTTATCCTTAGGTTTCATTCTGTAAAGAGAACTTTTGGTTTAATATTTTGTATCAGGTTATTTATTTATTTATTAAATTATTTATTTTATTTTTTATTTTTATTTTTTTTAAAGATGGGGTTCACCATGTTGGTCAGGCTGGTCTTGAACTCCTGTCCTCAGATGATCCACCCACCTTGGCCTCCAAAGTGCTTGGATTACAGGCATGGGCCACCATGCCCGGCCCTGTATCAGAGTTTCTAAGGAAACAATTATTAGGTAAATTTTTGATGTTACATTGAAACAGCTTTACCGTAAAAATTATGTTTATTCTCTGGGTAATGTATAAAAATTATAAATCATTTCTTAAGGCAAATAAATACTTCAGATCAAATTAGATATATGTTATTATCATTTTCTTGTCATGAGATTTCTTTTTTTTCTTCCTTTTTTTTTGAGACAGAGTCTCTCTCTGTCACTAGGCTGGAGTACAGTGGTGCCATCTTGGCTCACCACAACCTCCACTTCCCAGGTTCAAGGTATTCTCCTGCCTCAGCCTCCTGAGTAGCTGGAATTACAGGTGTCCATCACCATGCTTGGCTAATTTTTGTATTTTTTAGTAGAGACAGGGTTTCACCATGTTGGCCAGGCTGGCCTTGAACTCCTGACCTTGCGATGCATCTGCCTCGACCTCCCAAAGTGCTAGCATCATAGATACAAAGTCTCTTCTCATGTGTTAAACAAATACAGTCTCTTTACATTCTGAGAGGAAAAAAGTTACATAGGGTTCAGTAACTATTTTATTTTTCTGGAGACAGGGTCTTGCTGCATAGCACTGTCTTGAGTACACTGGTCAGATCATAGTTCACTGATGCCTGGAACTCCTGGGCTCAAGTGGTTCTACAACCTCAGCCTCATGTTTAGCTAAGACTACAGACATGTGTTACCACTCTTGGTTAATTTAATTTATTATCATTATTATTTTTTTGGTAGAGACTTTGCCTTGCTATGATGCCCATGTAGGTCTTAAACTTTTGACCTAAAAAATCCTTCTGCCTTAACTTCCAAATAGTGCTGAGATTGCAGTCATGAGCCACTGTGCCTGTACCATGTGGTTCAGTAACTTCTGAACAATATCTGATTTTTAAAATAAACTCTGCTTCAATTACTTGGGAAAAGTCAAATGATTTCCTTCTTTTTTTCTTTCTTTCTTTTTCTTCTCTTCTCCTTGCTTCCCTCTGATTGTCTTCCCTACTTCATTTATCCAACAGTATTGGGCACAGCTCTAGTAGATCCAAAGTATTCACGGTCTAGTGAACATAAAGCAAATTAAAAGCCCAAAGGCACTACCAAACAGCAAACTACAAGGTAAGAAATATCGATACATCTTAATATACACATTTTAAAATTACAATTAAACTTAAATCATCTATATTTTAAGCTGGAATATCAACATGTAGGCATTATTATACCCATCATTTTCTGCTTCCCCAATTTAGGAAGTGTGGGGATTATGTATGACAGGTGGAAAAAGCACAGAAGTGACCTTCTGATGTCAGTTATTGATAAACCAGAACATGACTTCATGTTTTATAATTAAAGAAAACACATATCTTATCCTCTATATCAAACACTATTCTCTTTGAAAATGTCATGACCTTTTGTTAAAAAGGAAACATCAACAAAGATCTACAGCTTTATCACAGGCGTGGCAATACAATTTTTGCTTAAGGATGCAACCCCTGAATGGGTATTTGTAGTGATGTTTATTCGGGGCTCTCCTCAATCCTGCTTCTCCACCTTCTTTACTGCCATCTCCTTCTCCTCTTCCTCTTGTTCCTCCTTGTCTTCCTGCTGCTTCAGTTGCTGCTCCTCCTTCTCCCTATTTGGCAATTCTCCTATGATGGAAACATGAGACCATTTATGACCAATATGATATTTATTAATTTAAGTGAAAATGCTACATAATGCTCCTGTTTGAATTACTAAAATGAAATATGTGATTGACAAATGCTGAACAGCAAATAACAATCTACTAGATAACCTAGAATGTTGTTTATTCTGGAGACATCAAGTGACAAGCTTTATTCTTGTTCTTTAGGAGTTTACAGTATAATTTGTGAATCAGAAAAGGTTAAAGGCTAAGACAGAAATCCAGGAAAGGGTTAATTACGTTGAGTCTAAAATTAGGAGAAGAAGGTCAACACAGGAGCTGCAGGTGGGGCACTTATCGTCTTATTGATTGTAATCAAACTATGAAATTATTAGAGCTTATACAGAAGAGGTATTTCTTGGCTGTTTGTATGTTGTGAAAGCCAAGAGGATGAAACATCAGAAAGAAATTTTGATTACCAAGAAGAAATGTTGCAGTGACCTTATAGGTTGCTTAGTTTTCTTTGTGTCTTTAAACTAAAATTTCCTTATTTTTAAATTGTTAACAATAATACTTGAAACTTAAGGGAGAATATATAAAAATCATATTGCAATTAAAATGACTCAAATGCAAATATTAGATTCTATCATTATAATTTTCACTGTCATAATATTCATGAAAAAGAACCATCTTAATTTTTAAGATTCTCCATGTATAAAGGAGGAAATACAAAACAAGGAACAATATGAATACATCCCTGGAAAACATTAAAATCATGTCAGAGAGTTACAAATTTGATCAAGTATAAAATTATTTACAAACAAGTGAAAATAGAAAGCTTAAATGAGTTATATTAAATGGGCTCATTTTTTATTTTAGAGTAGATTGGTTTCTGGAACTGACTACCAGATAAGATGAGTTAGATGTTTCAGAAAACGTAATGATACATTTGGAAATTTTATTGAAGGGAAAGGGTGAGAGCTATATAACTAAATATAAAAATAACATTTGTTTAGCAATATTGTATGCCACATTTATAAAACATAAAATAAATTCTTCTCTTTGTAGATTTGAGTTTTCTTAGTAGAGCTGCAGTATAAGAAGATTTAACAATTAGTAGGATTGAGATTTTATCAAATACTCAAAACCAGACTTCCCTGGAGTTGAGTTATTGTAAGTATTTACTAAATGATAAATATGAAGTTCTAGGTTGGGGAATATGGGAAAAAAGAATGAACAGATAGAACAGAATGAACAGATAGAAAAGGATGTAAAAATACTAAGTGCTCACAGGTTTTTGTAATGCCAAAGTACAGGGATCTATGTTTCAGTCCTTGCCTCCCTTCCAAAATATAAATCACATCAAGGCCTGATTCAATGGCATTTATCTCAATCCAAAGGCCAATCTTTGACCTATGGAATTTTAATCATCTACTCACCTTTTTTCTGTAATATAATTTATTTTGATCCACTTTTTGCCTTCTCTATTCATGCTGTTTTACTTAAAGTTTCCCAAATGCAACATATGTATTTCCACCACAATAGAATGCAGCCTTGCTATTTCTTCTGGAAATTTGTTTTCATGATCACTCTCATAAGTACTTCATTTTTTTTTCTAAAATGCAACTGTGCCAGAGGGGCTTTTCTTGATCATCCTATTTAAAATCACCTCTTTCCCTTAGCCCTATACCTCTTTAGCACCCTTATCACTACTTGAGATATTATGTATTATTTTTTCACTTGTTGTCTCAATCTCCCAACTACAATGTAAACTGCCTGAAGGCCAACTTTCATTTCTCTTAGACATTGCTGCATGTGCAGTATCTAAAGAGGACCTGACAGCTAGCATTACTTGATGTATAAATGAAGGACAGTCATTGCTGACAAACTTACGGAGAACATTATTGTGTTCTGAATTCTTGCCTAAAGCTATG